ATCTTTCTCATTTGGGCTGAAGGGTTGCAGCTCTTTTCTCCCCCCCCCCCCCTTGATATTTTGCTGGAAACATGACTCTAGACCAGTGATGGCTAACCTTTTCAGCACCAAGTGCTGAGAGCACATGCATGTGCACACCCATAATGCAATGCACACGTGGGCCCCCTGTATGCCATGCATGAATGTGTGACCCCCTGTTGTGCTCTCTGCCCCCCATGCATGTGTGCACTACCCCCCATGTGCACCCGGCACCCCACGCATGCACATGCAACCCGAAACCAATCCGCGGCAAAGACCCCAAAACAAGCTGGCCGGCGGGAGGTGCATGTGTATGCCTGGCAGAGCTGAGCTGGGGCGATGGCTTGAATGTCCCCAGAGAGGGCTCTGCGTGCCACCTGTGGCATGTGTGCCATAGGTTCGCCATCACAGCCCTAGACGTTGGTTCCCTAAGAAATATCAAGCTTTGCACATTGCACATTTTGACTGAAAATTCAGCATTATTCAACCCTATTCAATTTGCTATTTTTTGTAATGTGCTGGCTATCTATGTCACTTCCTCAATATGTTGATGGGTTGCCCACTTCTGCACTGGTAGTAGTCGGTTGAGCACCTGAAATGGTCCCTTGATATTATGCCATGGATTCATGGGAGGTGCTGTGAGGGGCAGATTCAGAAGGCTTTGTACTTCGGCACAGCCACAGTGTGCGGGTACCTGTCTTCCATTTTCTACTAACTCTAAAACTTATTCTGGTTGGTGTTTTCTACTTTGTTCCATTCTTCCTTAGACTGACTAGGGGAAAAAAACCCTGTATGCAACCCTCTTCATACCTATGTTCTGCATGTGTTGATAACTTAATGCAGGGGTCCTCAACCCCCGGTCCGTGGACTGACACTGGTCCACGGTATACCAGAAACCATGCAAGCAAGCAATGCCCCATTCGTGGGATGCAGGTAGCACAAACTATGCCCCTACTGGTCCACCAAAAAACCTCTCTCCATGGAACTGGTCCCTGGTGCCCAAAAGGTTGGGGCCGTTGGCTTCATCTACTATATCTTGAAAGAGGCAAAGAGTGATGGAACAGCCTCTTCCCCCTTTAGAATGACAATAGAAATAGATTTGTTGGCTGGCAGCCTGTCAAACTTTCACCTTCAACCCTTTGAAGGTTAAACAGTTTGGCTATGTGTCAAATGAACAGTCTAAATGAAAGTTGAGTTTTCTAATTGACTGACTCCAAGAAAGGCTTTAGAAGCTAACAAAATATTATTTTCCCCTTGTACATTATACAGCTAATCCCCAACTTACAACAGTTCATTTACTGACAGCTCGAAGTTATAGCAGCACTGAAAAAAGTGACTTATGACCATTTTCACACTTATGACCATTGCAGCATCCCCATGGTCCTACGATTTACATTCGGATGCTTGACAACTGACTCACATTTATAACAGTTGCACTGACCCGGAGTCATGTGATCCCTTTTGCGACCTTCTGACAAGCAAAGTCAATGGGGAAGACAGACTCACTTAATGACTGTGTTACTAATTTAAGAACTGCAGTAATTCACTTGACAAATGTGGCGAGAAAAGTCATAAAATGGGGCAAAGCTCACAATAAATTTTTCATTTAGCGATAGAATTTTGGGCTCAATTGTGGTTGTGAGTTGAGGATATCTCCTGCCTGCATCTTAATTGTTGAAAAAATGCTACTCCCAAAATGTATTTTTCAGTGTAATTTGGAAGTTGGAATTTACATCGTAAAAAAAATCCCTCGCCCAACTTACTTATAAA